TGTGTAGCACGCACAGGGGTGAGAGGCCAAGGGACAGTGCATGCCCCTGCAGAGTACTGATAAGAGCTTGTTTACCTTCCTGTGGATGGTCAGGCCTCAATCTGCAGCAGCGGAAACGCAAGGACAATAGGTGTATGCGTGTGTGTGTTTGTGCGCGCCCGCGTGTGCCTGTTGGCCTGTCTGTGCCTGTTGGCCTGTCTGTGTGTAACTGGGACTCTGTGTGCGCGCGTGTGCGCGCGTGTGTTTTAGCCTTGACGCTCGCCTTTTCCCGCCTAACTACTCAAGAAACTTTGGCCCCTCCCCTTCCTCATTGTGATTCCTTCTCCAGACACAAGCGCTTTCCTCTTACAATGAGAGGGAGACGCACAATTAATCTTTTAATACGGCAGGGATTTGATAATTGGAGTGGCCGAGGACAAAACATCAAGTTAATGCAAAATATTAAAAGAAAAAAAAAAGCACGTTGTTGATTTGAAACATATTAGGAAATCCCAAAATAATGGAAACTAGAGAAATATTGGATGAAAAATAAACGTCGCATGGAAAATACACAAATATGAGAGGAATGGTTTATATTGTAACAAGGACTTTTTTTTTTAAATATCACAATCCAATATTGCATTATCATAATATTCAACCAGACAAGCAAAGTGGTGTCTGGGAAAACAAATGTTTCCATCCTAATCTTGATCCAGCTGCGCACTAAAATTCAGTCGTGATTAATTGCCAAACATTGCTGAATCGCTCTTTTCAATAGCATGTCATCTGTAACTGCGATTTAATGGAGAACTCCTCCATCATTTCCAACACGGGGCTCATCACTTTCCTTGCTCTCCCACAAAAATAAAAACTCCCCTCAGTTGACTTTATTCACTTTTTTTTTTCTCTAATCGACCCTGTTGATGTTTAACAGAGCGTGGAGCAATGTGCTACTCTCAAGGGAGGATTATGAGCAGTTAGAATAATATCGTTCACAAATACAGTGCACCCTGCAATGCATCGCTGGCTTTGACGGTGCTGCTAAAAAAAACAAAACAAAACAGATTTTTCAAAAAATATTGCGTAATCGTGTCCATCCTACTGATATCCACATTCTAGTCACGTTGTGTGGCGCGTGTATGCTAAGTCAGTGCAAACACGTCAAGACACTTGCTGTCAGGGATTTCGCCGCTTCCGTGGAACAAAAGGGAATAAGTAGGAAGAACTACAGGATGCCAGCCAGCCAGCCAGCTCTGTGTTGGGCCGCATTGATCCCCTCCCTTAGAAGATAAATCATCTCAAAGTCTCCAGGAACGCCCAAACACGGTCACCGGTCGCCCTTAGTGGAGCTGGAGTGCACTCCGCATAATTATATTGGTCCTACACGCACGGTGAGCTTTCATTTAAGGAGGCCCGGCTCGGCCTTCAGAATAATAAGAGTGTTTTCATTTAATCCTGGAAACAAATGAGAGGAATACTCTCTGAGGGAATACGATTCCCGTGGACAGTCCATTATAGGGAAGATGATCATGCCGGCCTGCGAGTCTTTACATCGTGAAAGAAGCAAACGTTGAACTGAACACTGGTGCTATACGATAGCGATACAAATATGAATGTGATATTTTGCAAACTCCAGTGTCGTATGCGCTTTACATCATGCAATATGGTTTTGGACATGCCACGAGGAAAAAAAAATATCATTTGCTGGGGTTATGACGTTCAGTGCTATGCAAACTCGGCTCATTTCACGTCTGGTGAGAACTGTCACCATTTGAACCGTCGCCGATTTCAGGTCTTATTGGGCGTGGTTCGCCGTCTAGAGTGCAGGATGTGTCCAGCATCTGTACAGCTCGTGCTAACGGAACTGCAGCAATGTGAAGGTACAGTGTGAGCAGTCATGTCGCACCTTGCGGCTTTTGCGCAGTCTTACGCTTCGGTTTTTAGCTTTGACTGCCCATTGACGCTTGCGGATGGCTCAGCTGATCTGAGAAAGAATCGGAAGGAGTCGATGATAAATCGGGATAAACCGATGACGCCTTGCAGCCAATATAGCATGCAAACCAACTCTTGTATTTTCACACCACCACGGGGCCACCTAAGTTCGGCATGTGTGTGAAAAACACTAGCAACCGTTGCAATGGGGGCATTTGTTTGAATTCCCGTGAATGGTGGTTGTTTTTTTTTTTTTTTTTGCCGCCGACACGCAGTGATGTTTTATCTTGTCAGATGCAAGTCTGTCTCCGCAGGGATCCTTTCCCGAATAAATCTGTCAAACGGAAAGCCTCGCTCAAGGAGAAGTTGCACTGTGAAATCTGGTGGGAGGTGAGCTGTTGCAGGAAGTGTCGAAAATGAGTGGGAGCTCAAGCGAGGTGTTGTCGAAACATTATTTATGTATATACCTATTGGAGAATCTAAGCAGCCACTGGTGTTTGTGCTGCCCCCAAACAACATTAAAAAAAAAAAACAAAAAAAAAACAACACGATGCCCTACTTCGCAACGTTTGCAACGGCCGCCTATAGCACCCGATAAAATGAAGAGTCGGCAGGGACCTTTTTAGACGAGTGCCAATCAAACTTGTACTCCTCGAGTGAAGCACTCACCGTCATTCTGAGAGGGCTTGGAGAGTGAAGATAACGAGGTTAGCCGAAGGGAGGATGTTGTTCGGTAAAAGCAACACGGCTTGTCACGTGCGCTAACCTGCGCCTGAGAGAAGTGTTGTCATGAGCACACAGCCCCCCCTCGGATATTTGCATAAATCTGTTGTTCCAAGAGGAGTTGCCTTGTGGAGTCAATGTCATTTGCTCAAGGTATTGTGTATGTTTTCTCGTGAAAGCCACAAAACAGGTCATCAGGTCAAGTGCGCCATTGAACACAAATCTAAATTTTAATCTCTGGATATTGCCCAGCAAACAGTAATTCAAAGAGGAGTTAGAGAGTAGAAATGTTGTCATTGGGTAACGGTCTTCTCATCGAAGCAAATAAGCTTTTCGGACATGGAAATTTTTCCTCGTTTGAAGTATGGCGTGAAGACAAATGTTGATCTTGAGATGTTGCAGAGAAAATTGTGATTCTGGGAGATTTTAGAGCTGCTCTTGTTCCCCGTCCGCATCATAATACTCTTCTTGAAAAGGCACAAAGGTTTTCACTGTTAGATTTATCTCTGGATCTCTCATTAACACCCCCCCCCCCCCATTAGCTAAAAATATTGTTTGCTGTTCTCGTAAAAGCCACAAATTTGCACCAAGTTGTGTTGAGAGGAAGCGCAACTCTCTTTCTGGATCTTCCAAAGAAAACAGCGATTTCTTGAGTCGTGAGCTGAAGGTTATCGCATACTTTTCCTGTAAAGCCACACACCGAGTCATTTCCTCGAACTTGTGCATGGAAGAAGTATGACGCCAACACAAAGGTTTATCGCTGGATCTTGGCATCCCTTCATCACCACGGCGACGCTAAAGACAGATCTCCCGTGGGTTTACTTAACAGCTGCTTTGTGGACCTGGTTTTTAAAAATACCGCAATCACCCTTCAAAGCGTTTCGCTTACTTGTCCGTATCGCTGTCCCTTCTCATGAAATGGGAAATGGAGGCGGCTGATATAAGTGGATAAAGAGGACACGGAATGGAATAGTCCTCTATACCTCATTTACCAGCAAACCGCTTAGCGAGGCCATTGGCATTTCCTGGGTCACAAGGGCAAAATGAATGCTGTTCACATCCTATGGTGCCTTGTAAAAATCTGTCGCATGCCCACACACACACACACACACACACACTTACAAATGCAATCTGCAATCAACACGATTTATGAGCGAGACCTCTTGGGGTGACTGTCATGGAAAGTTGATTCCGTCACAGACGAACAAGAGGAAAAAAAAAATGCCTTTATGATCGTGATGGCGATTGAGCTCGAGACATGAACGCGGAGAGGCAGAATAACAGGAAGCCAGCCATGACCCCTGGCGTGATGAGGATGGACAAAGACAAGCTGCAGTACAAACCAGGAAGGCGTGAAGTTGTTCCACGAAGGGCACAAGTGGCCCTTCGTGCCGCTTTCAGTTCATATCAAAGCTTGTAAGCTTTGCTACAGTCACTTAGGACAAGGCGAGCTTTAAGCGGGTGAGCGTTTGGACATCTATTAAAAGTGCTATTGGTTCACTCTTGACTCGTTTGCGGTCAAAGAACCCAGCAGCGATGCGAACTTGAACTACATCCACAGCGGACATCCATTGTGGCACAAACCTTCTTGGTGGTAAAACGATAGCATGGACACAATTGCTCGATAAGAGTGATTGAAGTAGTCATTAAGAACAATCAGAGATTGAGCAGCATCGCTTTGCCATACCTTGCGGGCAGTACAGTCGTTCACGAATTACAGTCTTACCGCTCTCCTGGGACCCGGGTCAGGAAAGAATTACTGCTCCAGATTGGCGTGGAAAAGTCACGTGACCTTGATGGCCGCTTTCGTTCCATGCGCTTCGTTTTTGAGGAAACAGGAAGTTCTCTCTGGGGTATTTTATCACTCTTGCCGCTGGTCAGAGTAGAGCCTGTTGACAGCGTAACCGACTGTGTAACGTAATAGCGCGGACGCACAGTGCCCAGGTCACAGCATTCATTTAACCCTCACGCGTGTCATCCGTGACCGGACAGGTCGTCCAGATTGATTCCTCCTTCGGAGACGCGGTTCCCCCGCGGGGTTAAACAGCGGCCCGCGCCGGTGGATTGATGGATGACTGCGGCTGCTTTTCCTGACACGTTTGATAAACGCATCCCAGACGATTCATTTTTAAGTAGCGCCGTGCCGGTCGTACAGAGAAGGGGATGCTTCCGCAGTAACTACACCGAGTTCAAACCCTTTTGGACCATGAGTCTGATCCACATACCTGGACTCAATTTATCAGTTAAACAAGAATGTGCCCACAAACCGCTACCACGGCCAAACAATTTAAGTCGTGGTAGATACTGTGGAGCCTTGTTTTCAATCAGGCCTTGTTCAACCGTTTGCGCTTTGCGTTGTCTTCCAGCCTCACATCCGACGTGTGATCCCGTGGAGGTAAGCGGCAATTCCTGGATATACGTGAGGCAGCTGCAACTTGGCTGCTGGACCAGCTTTGTGGGACAGGACAAGGCCGAGGTCCACATCCTCAAGCTCAACTTTGATGGCACGGTAAGAATGTTGAGCTGCTCCTAATCGTGGCTCATGGATGCAAATGTCGACCAGGGAGGAAGCGCAAATGCGTAAGACGTAATAACAGCAGCAGTAAGTTGAGCGAGCAATCGCACCCATCGTCAGTGCCCGGGTGTCAAAATGTCACACATTGCTTATTTGATATTTATATCCATTGCGCCACGCTCTGTCACACGACCGACATCGCTGCCTGATGATTATCTTCAGCTGACAGGACAGGACAGGACAGTTTGTCAAGGCTTGCTTCTCCCCTTAAATGAATGTGGTGCGGGGCATCATTGAAATAAATTTTTCATATCCATATCTTCTCCTCTAATGGAATCTGCCATTCCCAAATATCACGTCAGCAAATGTTTAGAACTGGACAAACTGTGTCTTGTTGCAGTTTGAGACAAAGCGCATTTTGATATGTTAACGGAATGGTTAATCATGTCATGTTGATATATACGACTGTGCGATACGGCCACAATGGAATCTCAGTTTGACAAAAAAAACAACAACAAAAAAAACCCCCAAAAACAATTTACTGATGTGATTCAATTTTTTCGTCTTTGTCGAAAAAGCAAATGTCAAGTTTTTTGTTTTGTTTTCCTCCCTTCTGGAATTTACTTAAGTTCTCCTGATACCACAGCAAGCTCCCAAGACCCCCGACATTAATTTCCATAGAAATAATATATAGAGTGAGAGAGCTCTCTTCGAAGCTTCTCGATTTCTTCCATTCTTCTCATATATTTGTCATTACGAGCGTATTGTTGTAGTCACTCAGTCAAGTTGTTCGTCGAGGCAGGCTAGTGCTAGTTGTCTTCTGAAATGCCACCCTTCTCATATATTCGTCATTACGAGCGCATTGTTGTAGTCACTCAGTCAAGTTGTTCATCGAGGTAGCAGCAAGGCAGGCTAGTGCTAGTTGTCTTCTGAAATGCCACAAACCAACTTGGATTTTGCGTGGGTGCAACAAAGGAATTTGGATGCCCGTGGGATGCATCTGCTGCTGTCCAGCATTTCATGCCTGAAAAACGGCAGTATTGTCATCCTACGACTCTGCATGCGAGCAGATGGAGAGGCAAACGTGCCCCCCCAACCCCCACAAGAACGAATAGTGGTACAGCCCTTTAATTTTACATCTGCACCATGCTAGCTTTCGGATGAAAAAGCACAAAAGTACAATGACAGAAGCGACTGATTAATTTGATCTTTTTCCTGTTTGAGCCACACTGGAACGGTTTTCCCACACGAGATTACCGCTTGTCGCTTCGTCGTCGGCCTCCCCCAGGCTCGCATATGGACACTCGACACAAATGACTTGTTACCAGTTCAACCTTGGCGAAGGAAGCGGACTGGCTTCATCCCTTGCCAAGCTGTTCAGTCAGATGGGACATCATTGTCCTCCACGTTTTCACCTCCTTCTCCATCTCTTTGTTTTCACAATGATTAACACCCCACCCTTTTGGCAAGATTTATTCGTATTTTTTTTCTTATTTGATGGTGGTGGTGGTGGTGCGAAGGCGGGAGAGAAATTGGCGGGAGGAGGTTGCCTCATGTCCCACCCGGGCTAGTTGAGCCAAGCTCGTTGGCATCAGGCTGACACGAGACCAGCGGAGCCAATTTCTTTTCAGGGAGATTAACAAAAGAATAACTGGAAACGGCATCAGTAGTCATCCTTTACGAATGAGGAAGTGAGTCAGTGTTGAAAGTTATGATAAGGGGCGTCCATTTCATTTTCCTTTTTTTTTTTCTTCTTCTTTTTTTTGGGGGGAAAATTTACAAAATACCTTGATGACCTCAATCATGGTAACCGCAGAACAGGAAATATGAATGATAGCGATGAACTTGTTTTTACACTGCCGCAACCATTTAAAATAGGAAGATATTACTTACTATACAATTGACAAACTTATAACCACGAAGAAACATGCTACAGTACTTGAAACATTGCCTGTATACTTGGTGAACGTCTTAGTTTGTCCCCGCGTCAAAGTACTTCAATATCCAAAATCAATTCTTTGTTGTTTTAAAAGAACACATAATTTAAATGTTTAATATATTTTTGTTGGATCTGTGTTCACGCCGGTCGACAATTAGTTTCACAGGTCTCCCTGGACTTAATTTGTTCAGCACCGGTCTGCAAATTTTCCTCGGCCCAGCCAGGCTCATCACTATTCTTCTTGGATCCCGCTCAAAATCAGCCGGAAAGAAAATTTAATTTAACATTAGACCTGCACATCATCTCCCTGTTGGACGCAGCCCAGTAAACAGTCTTACTTTCCAACAACAACAACAACAAAAATGTAGCTAAATGAGTTTCTATGAACATTATATTCTCACTGCAGGGACGTTGGTGTGCTGTGTTTATTCCCAACAATTTGTACAGCGTAATTGAACACCACCAGTCCAAAGTTTCGACATGCTCGCTAGTGCGATTAAACTTTTGACTGGTCGTGTGAAACACAAATGCTCATTAGGGCTGATTCAAAAGTACAAATCTTATCATGAGTTACTCCAGTCTAACGGCACATATTCCCTCACAGAGACGACTCCCTAATTACAATGTGGTGGTGGGAGGGGGGCAGGGGGGAAGTATTGTTCACGCATGGACATCAAACACCACTAAACTCTTTGAACTCGTGTTGCTAACAGAGCGGCAGCGCCGAAAGAGGCACCTCGACAATTTCTCAGTGAGAAGTTCTTGCAGTCTTAGATGTGATCTTAACGTTATGGAGAGACATCATCTTTTAATGGCAATTAGTGTTCCTGTCGACGACCATCTGGTGGTTCAGACTACAAAAACTTCCCAAGTGAGTTCCTGAACCACATAATAATAGCCGATCTTGACGATGTTATGTAGAGAAAGATCAGTCAACTGAACTTTGCTTCGGGGGTGGAGATATGATACCGAAAGGGATACGTTACTAATTTTGCCATTTTCAGCAATAAAAAGTAAATATTTTGTCTATGATAACTGTGATAATCATTATTTTTCATGTATAATTAGCACATTTAAAAACACATTTTGCCACTTGATGTCGACTGAAAATGACTTACCGTGCATTTTTTTTTCTTTTTTACGTAATGGTGCGGTTTTATTTTTAACTCCTTCGAGGGGACTCCAAGTCAAAAGTTTTCTTTCGAATAATAATGTATGTCCCATGAGTCCCCGCGAGTCTAAATCTGGCATTCTGATGAATATTGTTGTTTGTGGAATATGAATTAAGCAGAAAAAGTCACCCGTTATGTAGCTCAGGAGGCGGCCATTTTGCCACATGACATCAGAGTGCCGAACGGCTGAGATAATGACCAATTACAGGTCATCTGTTTTCTGGGTTTAGTCATGTGACATTCGCAAGCTGAGCCCTTTCGGCACTGTGAGGTCATCTTCGGTCAACGGCAAGTGGCAAAATGGCCGCCCCCAGACATGGATAAAAACAGCTGCATTTTTCTGCATTCATTCATATTCCACATACACTTAATTATTCAGAACAGTGTGTTTCAACGCATAGATAGTTTTTTTGACCTGACTTTCCCTTTAGATATACTGGATTCATTGTTTAATAGCGTTCTTCAGTTGAGCAAACAAATAACCCCGGACATAATTCGCCCCCGAGGAAAATAAAACGGATAAACATCTGTTTTGGCTGTTCTGTCAATTTTGCAAAACTATGCAGACCTGAGCCGCAGCAAAAATAACACAGCTCACCGGTTCTCGTTTGCGTTTGACATTTTCTGCAAGGTACAAGGATGTTAAAAATAGCAAGCACATTTTCCCTCGTTAGCATACACACCGAGAAAGTGACTGGCACGCTGCTTGTTCCGGAGACGTGTTGACATCGCATGGCTGTCACACCCTCGGCTGATTACGTAATAGGCTAAGAAGTGTAAGTCAAATTCAACTGCAGCTGGAAGTTATTTTTAACACTTCAAACGAACGTCTCGCTCCTCCGAGCCAATTAGAAGTCTTGTTAATTGAGTCGAGGCTGTCAGGATACGAGAGGAGGGAAATGGCTTGATTACAATTTGGATCCCTAGCGCACTTAAAGGAACGTCACTGGCAAGTCCTCTTACATTGAAACGCTCACACGTATGTATCCAAATTGTCACAGGACAATTAAAATGTGGATTATTTCTGCAGTTTGTCATCACTGGCAATAGGAGCGGCGGCATTAATCATAATTATATAAACTGCCAAGAAAAATGACGACATGGATTTAGTGCATGCGCCTCGACATGACCGAGCACACTGTGAACTCTTTTGAGAAGTTACATCGGCGTTTCAACAATAGCATTTATTAACTGATGTCATTGGTTTTTCCTGATTTGGGGGGAAAAGGGAGGCGCTTGTTTGCATCGAATGAAAATCTGTCCACGAGTGTCCTTCAACATCACATCACCTCTGTATGCTTTTCCACTCCATTCATCGTATCGATCCCCGAGAAGATGGTGCCCCATCTCACAAGGTTGTGCTTTGTTTTTGCAAACACGGCGCGCACGCTCGGCGAGCCTCATTACTTGGCTCCTCCGTAACTCTCACCGGGACGCTTTGACAGTGCGGGGGGGAAATATTTATGCCGCTCCGCTGGAGCGTCTTTCCCTAATCACAGGCCGCCTTTTCATCTACTGCCAAACCTCCCACGCAACAGGACCGTTAGCAGCATATTATGAAGCTCTCATAGAAGCATTACGGGTTATTATCTCATTCTTATGCTTAAGCAGTGGAACATTTGCATATAAAAGTGACGCACTGCTCAACCCATCCTGCTTGACTTAATTATTCATGACGATATAATAACATGCGCATTGGCATTTTTTTTTTTTTAATTGTCATTAATGTTAACCGTGTCGCTTTAATTTTCTGTCAGGATTCCAAAATGTTCTCTCTGGAGATGGCCGACGCCAAACCCATGAACCTGATCATCACGTCGCAGGACATGGCCGACGGTCTCTATAAGATCAACGCTGACGTCAACATTTATGTGAGTGGCCTTTTTGTTTGTGTTGACACAAGTGTAGTTCTTGTAATTGGCGTTCATCTTTGGACTATAACTCTAAACAAACTGTCCTCCCAAGCCTGTTTAAAACAGTCGTTGATTACTCATGTTGATGCAACGACAAGAGCTTCCAATCTAAATCCTGCTATCCAGGCTGTGTCATTGATAGGGACCGACACCAGTAGCAGGATGCGAGTCGACAAAAAGCACATTTGTCAATCAACGTTGAAACGTTTACCGGTGCAGACGAAGCCCACAAAAGAAAAGTGCCGTGTGTGCAATAGTGGAGGAATCTAACAACAGTTTACACGACAGCACAGGGACTTGGAGCTGCTTCGCGGGCCAACAAACTTTGGATAATGCGTTACAATGAACAGATGGGCCAGGAAACCAGTCAAAACCCATTAAAAAAAAAAACGTGAAAAATCCCAATTAAAGCAAGTGCGTGGAAGATAAATCATGATTGAAATGTAGAAAATATTCCCGCAACTGGTGGAAGTTCAATATGTTACCTTTATTTGTTTATTTTTTTTTACATGACACCAGCAGCTCGATATTGAGAACAGTTGTGTATGCTGGAAGAAATGACATGTCGATTAGATATGCTGACAGTCGAGTGATAGCAAGACTGTTATCATGGCTGACGGAGGGTCTGCACAGCGTTTCCCCAGGACAGGAGGATGTTTAGTTCAAATGTTTGTTTTGCTTTGAGGGATGAGATGCATCACTGGGGGGATAATAGTGTTTAAGTGCAGTGTCAGGGAAAACAGCAGCTGCTCTGCAATCAGAGGACATGCGTCACGTGACGTCTGTGACAGATTGGCTTCGGGTCACCCTCACTGCCAACGCTGGGACATAATCAGCGAACTTCGGTCACAGCGATTGGCGAATGCACGCACACATTTCAGCGAGCTGAATATGTCGCGCTGTACTTTTTGTAGCTGGGCATGATGCAAAGTATTATTAGGACAAAGAATTGTGAAAATACATTCTTTGAGAAGGTTACCATTTTATTTGGAAAATTAACTCTACCAAAAAAATGAAGTTGAGACTCCCTCACGGGCTCGGCTGAAAACAGTATGACAATAAAAATATGTGACGCCAGAAAAAAAAAGATAAATTACACCAACTACCTTTGCAATTTATGACAAAAAAACATCTAAATTGAAAAAAAAAAAATCGCATATTCACGTGAAGACTCCCCTTGAGATCCTTCAGTGCAACGCACATCTTGACGATAGTGCGCCACACCATTTCCAATCTAAGGCTGTGTCATTTTTGAAAAACATTCACTACTTTCAAATTCCAGCATGACTGGAGTTCCCCATTTTTTTATTTTTGGTCGATTTCCCGTCGTACGTACTATTTTTGGTGCCTGCATCAGTGAAACGGTCATACAAGAACCGATGACTCCCTGCAGAATTCCTCACCTTTCAACGCTCTTTCTTTTTCTGTGTGCCTCGCTCGAATAAGCCGCTGCGTGCGAGTGTACGTCCGACCTCTGTGACTTTCGCTGACACAAAAGCCCCAAAAAGCAAAGTCATTAGGGAGCGTCAGCATTTTTCCATCTTTCAGGATCAAATGCTGACCGAGTTATCACTTGTGCTCTTTCTGTGCCCAATCCCAAAAACAAACAAACAAACAAAAAAGAGGCTTAACAGATGCCGTTCATCATACAGGGGCTACAATTATGTTTTAATAGTACAGTCCAACCTCATTACAACGTATCTCAAGGGACATAACAAATCTGTACGTTACAACGGTAGTTCGTTGTAACCATTTGCAATAAAATGGCCGCCAACGACGATGTATAATACAGTATGAACACTTATTGACGTAAGCAAAATAGGCAAATGGAAAATGAATGACGTGAAATCGGGACTTGGAAATGTGAACCTTTTATAGGGGTCAACGGGGTATTTATTTATTAATAGGTAACATTTATTATTTATTGCGTGGATCTTTCTTACATACATGTTCACACATACGCAGCCACTCTCATGTAGAAAGCGAGTCCGTTATTTCCCCCAATCGGGTCAGACGCGGAAGCGGCAGTGTCTCGTCCTCGGCGTGGACGTATGTATTTATACCTTGTATGGAGCCAGATTCCAGCCGACTACGGTGACGCACAAAGCTAAAAAAGGTCCCATTTCCTGGCCCCAGTCAGGAAGCGAAGGAAAGACCTTGGCTCCAAAGGGGGTTGTGCAACAGGGCCCGCGGACGCTTAACCATAATAAACATTTCTTTTCTAAGGGGAGAATAGACGCGAAGGAGAGCTGGGCGGAGGCGAGGAATAAGTGAATGAGTGAACGAGAGAGAGCGAGAGACAGAGAGAGAGGCAGACAAACATGTTTAACGCGGAAAAAAAAAGTCTGGGAATGCTGGAGGCAAATAGACACAGAAACAATGGTGACACTGCGCTGCCCGTTCTTTGGCTTTCAACTATGACCTCAGCATTCTCGCTATTGTTTTCTTTCTCAATCAAAGCACGGCAGGATTTTCATGACGTGATCATTCCGTAATAATGAGTGGGCAGAGGAACTGAGGAACCCATCGGTGAGACTCGAGAAGATTTCCAGAAAAGGGATTTTGATTGCGTCGGTCAAAAATAAAATCCGGGGGGGCGGGGGCTGCTGTGCTCTTTAATCTGGTCTCTCGAGCACTTGGAATTTCAAGAGTCCTGTCATATTTGTTGCATTTGGCAATGATGGGAGACTCAATTCATGAATTTCACTCAGGAGTGACTGAATGCGATTTGCGCATATTTCATTCACATTGACTCACTGATTCGATTCGGCTCGCGGATAAGCGCCGGAAACGGCCAATGTTTCTTCTCATCTCATATCCACTCCACAGAAAAGTAACGCTTCGACACTGGTCCTGTACACCAACGAGAATCGCAGCAGCAACATCCACGTCGTCGACTTCCCCAGCGCCGACGGGGAGCTGGTGAAGTGGGCCACCCGCAAGTTCGGCGGTGTCACGTCCTTCACCACGGTGGAAAATCTTAAAGGGCTGTCCTCCATAGCCACCGAAGGTGAGGACGCCATTGCTACTAGTACGTGTCGGTTTCCCGTGACAGCGAGGTGAATAAAAAGCGCAAAGAACTGGGTTGCCCTCGCCCATGTGAACACAATCATTTCGCCAACAAATCCTCCTTAAGGCGCCCTGAGCCACAGAAAAGCTCCGACACGGATCAAGGTGGATGCTGGGGATGCTGGCGGCTGCTTTTTCATCCACTTTCATTCCCCCCACGCCCCCTCCATTACATTGGTGTTTATGTGTGGGGATCATGTTCCATGAGTCCCCACCTGGATTTAAACATGCCGCTAAATACGAGCCTTCAGTTTGGTGATTCGTGCAGTCGTTCGTACTGTCAATATCCCTTGCTAAAAATTTTGTGTGTGAAAACATCTCTCGGGAGAAAAAGATTCATTCTGCCATATCTTATTTTATTCTCCGCAACTAACAGTCGTCTTATTTTAACTTTTCGGGGTTTAGGTGTTCCCCTGGTTTCAACCTGCACGTTTTTTTTTTCTTTTTTACAGCCATCTTGTCTGAGCTTTTGAAGTTTTACAGCGATCTCTTTTGAAACGGCTCCAATTGTGGGCGTTGTAATCTCTTCAACTTTTGAGGGATTTACCATTCACTTATTTGAACCTGAGCTGCTTTTATATATTTTTTAACCTACTCAACTTTTGATGGTATTTCAGGTAAGACCCATTGTAACATTCTTAGCTTTCCATTGATGGACCCTAGTTTAAACTGTTGTGCGTTCTTCATAAACTCATATTAAGGTTCGGACAATGAGGAAAAAAAGTGTTTGAGATTTATGCCCAGCTTTTGGGATGGGATGGTAAATGGATCAGAGGTGGGTCTGGTCTGTCATATGAAAGATTTGAGGCATTCCAGAAAAATACTGTCTCAATAATGTGAACTTTTCCTTGGCTATAAAGTGTTTTTTTTTTTTGTCCAGAAAAATACTATCTCAATAATGTGAACTTTTCCCTGGCTATAAACTGTGATTTTTTTTATATTGAATAAGGAGTTGGGAAATTCAAACAGCAGGGATAGGTTTCTAATGTTCAATGTCCCGTGCATGTCCCGTGGGGGGGTTGGTCTTATTGCTGTCTTGTGTGTGGGTGTGCATCTGAATGGTGGGTAGAGAAGAAAATTCAGGTTCCCCCAGAGAGAGCGGGAAAGAGATTTGAAATTCACGCCATGCATGGTAACAACAGGAAAATACATATTAAGCAGCCGGGCGCATTAAAATTCCTGATGCCTCCGTTCCTAGACAGTCTGACTGAATATTAAAGGAGATGTAAGTGATTATTGCAATCTTTGTAGTAGCTGACACTCTCTCCTCCTCGAGACTGAGTTTGCTGTAAAAAAAAACAAAAAACTGTTTAATATGTGCCCGGTGTACAATTGAGTTTGCAAAAACAACAAAAAAAAAAGAGATTTTCATACATGCACTCCATGCAAAAAGTTCCAAAACTCATTTGATTGCGGTGATTGCCTTAAAAGGTTGTACAACAAAATATGAAGTTAAGGTCCCATCATTTTTGTCCAGGCCTGTTTCACGAATTTGTTTTTAAAAATTGTTCTGTTGGAACCGAATTTCAAAAGCAATGTCTGATATGCAATCAATTTATTATTTTTCATACTTTTGTTAGATTAAAGTCATTTCTGTGACACAGCAGGGTTAATATACTCCCTTGAGTTCCTACACATCTCGACTTGAGCTGATTCTTATATGCAAGCAAACCAAATAGATGATAAAAGAATAACCCTCTGGCCGTCAGTCAACAAGTGAGCATTCTTGTCTTTCTTGTATCGCATCAAGGATCGTACAAGCAGTGCATGTTTTAGGTTGTCGACATGTCAATAAGCGCGCATAAATTTCAAAAGAAGGTACCGTACTTGTGCAGGAACAAAAGGCGGTTCTCGGGAATGCGTGCTTCACAGCGAGGATCCGTCAGAGAAGCACTTCATGAAGATTGACGCCGCGCCCCTGACGTCTTCATTCAAGTCATGCTCCCCGCCGCCGGAGCCGGAGAAACAGCCGCTACGCGGCCCCACCGCCAACAACGATGACGACACACCGGAGCTTCATATCATCAACATCCCCGAGGATGCCAACATTCGGTAGGCGGCGAAATAACATATTCCTCTGCGCCTCCCGTGGCGTAAATCTCTTCAATCTTTTGCTTTTGGCGTTTCAGCAACGTGTCAGTTCGCGTGGACACAAAGAAGTCCAGCGTGTTCCTGAGGGGTCCTCAGGGCACCACGTGGACCTTCCTCGACCTACAGCACAGCAAGTTCTGCGTAGGTCTCGCCCCCTTGCATTATTTACGCTGCCTCTGCCAGCGTCATGACTAATTCACTGTGCCTGCCTCCACACCTCTCCAGTCCAACAATGAGATTGTGCTGCCTGCCATGGCCCACAGAATGAAGCCCACGTTTAAGCTAAGCAGCGACCAGGCCAAGGACGTGCAGAGGGAGGCTCTGGATTATTTTAAAGCGGACACTTTCACCAGCTACACGGAAATGAGGCCCGAGGGCTCCCAGTTGTTGCTGGTGCTTGGTCGAGACCGCCCAGCGGGTAAGGAAAATATGGTTGCCTCCACTCTAATGGATCTCAATTCAGATGGGGCCACGTTCTCCCATGTGGAAGTCACCGTTGTAAACCTTTACAACGGCGCGCTTTACTGACTTCAAATAGAACTTAAAAGATAAATAAACAAAGGCATTAGCCAACAAGCTAGCCAGCTACCTAGCTAACTGATTAATACGCTAAAGGCAGTAATGAATAACCGACCCGTCAGGCTACTGAATCAACCAACTCGCTCACTTGCTAGATCAGTAAATGAAGCAACAGAAAAACCAACCAACCAACCAACAAACTAATTGACTAATGTGCCCACTACTTAGATAGCTAGATTATTTGGGTAGTTAGCTAGCATGTTGAGTTTTCTCACTGCTTTAGTTTGACATGTAGCTAGCTAATATGTACTGTGACTCACATTATCATTTCTTGATTGTAAACCCCCCCCCCCAAAACAACACACACACACACACACACACACACACACACACACAAAATTGGAAACTAGCAACATTTGGTACTGTCCATGAATTGGTTGTCACACGATGCTGTCCCTGTGCCTCAGTGACAGAAACCGTAACGGAAGCCGTGCTATCAACCACGGCTGAGCCTCATCAGATGCCTTTTCTAATGCAACTCTACACATCGCCTGATTACCGTTCACCCCTGGACCCCAATAGCAAGGTGCAGTGCGACAAGAAAATCTATGCTGAGGTAGGAATACCAACTACACGTCCCAAACAGTCTGAATAAAGTTGTAGGTTGAAATTAAGAGCGACAATGGCACCCAGAAGAGCGCACTGAGGTCAATTCCTTGCGCGCTTTTCTTGCACACGTTGAAGGCGCGGTGGTTCTCGCGTCTAGGCTTCTGATACACGCATCTTCGTAACCCGTGAAAACTCGCGCACCTGCCGATGAGGTGTGACCCTTTGAATTCCAAGGTGGAGTTTTCCAGACACATATGATTTCCATCGGGCTCCATTTGGTGTATATGTCAAACTTTCAAAATCAAGTTGACTCGTATGCATCTGGAAGTCATATTCTGAGCGTCAGCAATGACGCGCACGGTTCATCTCACGGGCTAATTTGAAGGAGCCTATGTGATGAACTGAACTAAGCGAATGATGCAATTGCTCCCCTCTTGAATGTCATAAGGATCTTTTGTGTCGTTGATATTTTGTCAGATTTCGGGCCACGCCCTGGGCGACATTGTCCTGACCATCAAAGTGATGAGCTGCTTGGTGCGCTCCAAGGGCTCCTGCCCCATCGTACAGGAGCTGCGCTTCATACCGGAGTTCTGTTCCTCGAATTTATGCCCCAACAGCACGCGGCTGAGCTTCTCCTTGGATCAGCTACAGGAGCTGAGCTCCACCACTTGGGACCTGGAATGTTCCGTCAAACTGTGCTACAGCGAGGTAACGACTCAAAAGGCGCTAGACTTTTTGAAACCACATGCAAGGCAAAGTACGTGACAGCTCATTAAATCTCTAGCGCGAAATGTATCACAGCACACCCTGATGTGATAAATCAATGACGAACCTGGAGGATGGCGTTGCAGGATTAGGGCTCATTAGAGACCCAAACACGGAGCAACCCGGTCAGCTTCTTTTTCTTTTGCTGCTCACCAGAAATGTGGCGATGGAGGACGAGTGAAAAGGAACTTGGAGGTCACCCAGCCTTGTCAAAAAACACTCAGTGAGTTCAGCTTAATCTCCAACATTTGTTCTACTCGCTGCTTTCATTACACACGATTATAGATGACGTTTCGTGTTAGCTGACGTTCCGGGAGACGTGTGGCCAACCAAGTGTGTTTATGTTCGGGGAATAGTGCAACTTCTCCCTGGGTCTTTCCACACTTCTCTGCATTTCTCCATTATAGTTTTTTTTTTTTTAATTTCGTTTTGAACGATACTAATTTTGCTTGAAAATAAATCTTGTATTTGTAATATTTATTTTCTAATTACATGTTCAAAACAATATAAAAAAAAGTTTATTTTTGTGGTACTGCTGCGGAGCAATCAGTACCACGAACAGGTTGTTGTTATTATTATTTAATAATGATGATAATAATATCAATTGGAGAAGCCTTTAATCATCTTATTTTTTTGTCCATTCCATTTTTTATGATTTTTTTTTTTATTTAGTTGTTTTGGGGTTTTTTAAAAGATTTTTTTTATGGTATTTCAATTTGTTCCCTTTCATTTGGACATTTACATGTTTTTTTTTTCCCAAGTGGATCAAATATTAGTCATTTTATTTTAGCTTTTTTTTTTTACAATTTTAAATCATTTTCACATTAATTATTTCATCCCAACTTTTCTGTATTTAAAACATGAACGAGTTGCAGAAACACTACCAGTAAAACGTTATGCGCAAAGATGACACAGAACTGAAGGGGTCGTCGACTCTCCAAATGGCCGCTAGTCTTCTCACTCTGTGTCCTCGATGTAGTTTGAGTGCCTATTGTTTCTTTGCATGCACCAGAAACTCGTCATAGCAGTGAACTCAGGATGCCGCCGTGCAAGTGGGTGCAGCGCCGAGATGGGGAGAGCGCGGGGGGGCTCGTCCTCTAGGAAGGACTGCAGCCTGACCTTGTGACTACAATCACAAGTAACGACTCTCAGGGGAGGCGACCTGGAGCCCTTTGTGTTTTCCACGGGGGGGTTTTGACTCCGCCGCTGTCCAAACACGGGCGCTGGGCCTCCAGCTATTGTCGGCCCATCGGACGGCCATTACTCAAAGCGCGCAGAAACACTTCGATGATTCCATCGGTTGGAATCATCCGAGGAAGTGCCGGCTGATTAAAAGGAGGGAAATCTGCAGTTTTGGGGCCTCTTCCTACTTGGTCTTCTTTCCATCGGGGCATATGTAAGAGCACAGTGGTTTCACAAGGATGTAGTGGGAAAAAAAAAAAGTTTGTGCATATTTTTCAAAATCACACAATTCCATAACATTGGTATATTGTGCATAGTGAATGCCTTAATCATGAAACTTAATGTATTTGCTGTTGTACAATAGCAAATACAAAAATTTAAAAATGACTATAATATATAGAAAACATGCTCATAAAATAGCGTGGGGATTTTTCTTCTTTTTTCTTCTTTTTTTTGACGTGATTTTTGTGTTTTTCAGAATTTTTTTTTAACTTAAAAAAAAGAATTAAATTAAAAAGTGGTACTTGTAGATTTGGGAAAAATGCCAAAAAGTCAAAATCAAAACAAAACTATATTTGTTGTTTTCCATAAAAAAAGAAGAAAAAAAAGCAGTCTTATGCATTGTTTTGGTCACAAAAAAAGCAGAAAACCCCAGCAGATATTGGGAGGTTAGCATCACAGTTCTGGCCTGCTGTCACGTCATCCTTTTCCACCTGCTCCTGCTTCCTGCTGCTGTTTGTTCAGCTTTGCCGTCAAAGCACACCGACTCACGCAACCGCCAATTTACGGACGATTGATGTCACTCTGGCCCAATTTGGTATTTCCCATCACCTGACTCGTCTCTCTGGGTGCAGTAACACCGAGCATCCACAAGAAGTCACTGTTGCCGTCAACAGCCGATTGTGGCTTTTTCCTTGATGATTTTATTATTTATTTATATATATATTTATTGATGATTTTTATTTATTAATTCAATTTATTTATTTTGCTAACTCAAGCACAAACGTTCAGCAATGTGGTTGTGAGGAGCATTCCCAAGAGATGTCGCCTTTTCTCAAAAAGATCCTTTTCCGGCCAGATCGTCAAGTACTACAAGCGTTTTGTCTTCCTATTGCATAACCGAGTCATATTTGCATAATTATTTTAGTCAAAAATGATGGTTCCGTTTTCAAAACACGTTGTCACAAAAAAATTGGATCCATTTTTTTGTACAAAAAGACATTTTGTGTCCTTAAACACCCCTTTTAACGGCAAAATTGAATCCATGTTGTGCCATAGCTAATTCAGTCTGACGTTTCCAATTTTGGATTCTTCAGTTGTGTGAATCCATGGAGCTGCATTGAAGCAGCTGGAGTAAAACTCACCACGGCGGCCCGACATCATGTTTGCCACATTTTGCCTCCAGGGTGTTCACTGTGACTGTCAACATCGTCGACGAGTGTGTGTGTGTGTGTGTGTACCAATAGAGCTGAAGACGTTCGGAAAAGTTTTCAGTGCTGTCGTTGACAATGAAGGTTGCATCATGTTTTTTTTTTTTTTCTTTCTTTCTTTCTTGTGTATGTTTCAGACACTCCCTGCTTTGATTTTAGCCTCCCCGCAATCTTGGGCATCGCCTTTGGAGGCTTCCTGATAGGAGTCTTACTAATTGGTGCGCTGTGGTTCATCAAAATTAAAACAGGTGGGCCACTGTTTCATCAGCGTCACAATTCAACTACGTGCTTTCATAAATAAGTTTGATTCACCTATGGGTGAGCAAGCAACACACAATCAACCTGTACCTTTTTTTGTGGCTGTGTAGGGTTGTTTTTCATTCCATTCGAGTTGTTTTTCAAAAAAAAAAACACAAAAAGAACCCATAGAATTTTTACAAAATGATGTCTCCACTTTAGCGCGGTTCCAGCCTGACCTCTGTGAAAAGTGGACTTGATAACCCCAAGCATTTGATTCCAGTGTGAAACATGCTCGCCGTGCCAATCTTTGGTTATTTTAGGAACTAGCATGGGTTCCCTGTTTTTCCTCGTCATCCCTTTGTGAAAACGTACCGGTAGCTTATTCGCCGCCACGGAGGCGATGACTTAGGAGCAGCCAGCCGAAGCATGTTGCTTGCTTAGAGCTTGCCGCGACTTGCTTGCTTTTTGGGACCGTCTTGGTGGTTGATTCTCACTTTTGCTGTTCAGTGTGTTGAGATGAAGTTGTGGTTCGTCTTTGTCTGTGTACTTTGTTAACAAAAACAAAAGTGTGTCGCTATGCTTGATTCAGGCTACCCGACCGGATTGGACATGGCCTCTTCCCTATCTTCCGGCTGTCCCTGCTCAGGAGCCAAGCAGCAGCCCATGTCATCGAACCCTTCCGCCTCGGAAAATAGCAGCGCTAATGCGAGCATCGGAAGCACCCAGAGCACCCCCACCAGCAGCATGGCGTGAGATTAGGGTGAGCAGACCACCACTACCGCCAGCAGAGACAGAATTGCCTGCCCCTCTTAAAGTTAGTTATGGGTTTAGTTTATTTCATTTTTTTCCCCATGAAGCCCCCTAGCCCACCATCGCCACTTTTTTTTCCTAACAATTAAAACTCATCATATTTGACATACAAGCCTGGAATTGATGCAATCGCGCTGTTTGTATTGTCGGCCGGCGGCGGTGTCTAATGGATGGCGTGTGACGCTCACCTCTGCGGTCGCCCTTTAAAGTGCTGCTTCCAGACAGGAAGTTAAAGAGGGCAAGAGGAAAAGAAAAACAAATTGGCTCCAAGCAACAGGAAAAACAATCCCTGTCCCCCCCTGAGAGCCAGCAGGAAATTCACCGCATTCCTCCGCCAATTGTGACGGTTGCGTTCGCCAGCGCAATCAAAGTCAGGACGGCGGAAGATGAAGCTAAACGACAGACTTGGAAAAAGGCTAGCTGGTTGCGTACAAACGGTTAGCGAAACCCTGAAACAGGTATCTGTCTCCAGATTTCCCCTCACCGTTTACATATTCAATGCTAATGACCACGGACACTTCCTAGATGGGAGATGAAGTGAAAAGACCAACATTGGAGATAAAAAAAGAAAAGTATTTGTTCTACCTGCATCTTATTGGTTAGCGTTACTTCCAACGTGTGTCTATAGTCGGCTGTTACAACGAATTTGTTGCTAATTATTTTGCTGTCACGCTATTATATTTGCTCATCATGAGATGGGGGGATGAAACGACCAACTTATAAATATGTTATTCTACTGTGTCTAAACAGTTAGCCAAATATTCAAAATGCTCCCTGAATTAGTTGTGTCCACGTTTCCCATCACACTTCACAACAAATTTGGCACTCACCGCAAACAGATCTTACATGAGCTATTTGCGAGAAAATGAAGCGAAAAGACAAACATGGAAAAATATCTAGCCGGCTGCGTCCAAACGGTTAGCGAAAGGTCTTCAACACTACCTGAAAAAGGGACATGCCTCCATAGTTCCCTTTGTCAAATTTGCCATGAAGTACAACCTTATATTTGCCAATGATGAGACAAAATACTATCGCTAGCTGTATCCAATAATTTAGCAAAACGTCATCGTAACATCAGTCTCCATATTTCCCGCCTTCCTTTACAATCCATTTGACGCCAACGGCTAGCAGCTCTTGTATTAGCTTATCGGGAGACAAGCAATGTAGTGTCATGACCGATTTGAAACAAATGAAATAGCTGCATCTAAACAGATAGCAAAACATCTAAAAACAATTGCTGACAGACATGGAAAAAAAAGTGTTGTCGGACTAGCCGTGTTCAAATGGTTGGCAAAAAAATCTAAAACACTTCCTGAAGGACACACACATATTTCCTGTTGCCCTTAATAACCGATTTGATGCTAACTGCAAACAGCTCTTGTTAGCCTATTAGCCTTTCCGGAGATGGGAGATGAAGCGAAAAGGCAGATGTGAAAAAGAGAAAACAAAAAACAAACAACTTAATCTTGCTAAAACTATTCCTTGAAGAGAGGTAACACTGTCTCCATATTTCCCGTCGCCATCACGAACAACTCTGATATGAGCTTTTCTTGCCCAAAAAAACAACAACAAACAAAAAAAAACAATCAAGAACCACCCACTGAAGGATTATGGACGCTCCAACGGTAGCAATCTGTTTGACAGCGTTAGCAAATGTAGCATTTGTCACTTAGCACAACGTTGTCCCAGCGAGGAGAGAACATTGATGTTGCCTCAAAGTCAGCTGCTGGACAGAAGCTGCAAGTCATATTGGTGTAGTATGTTAAACCTCTTTTCTTTCTTTTCTTTTTTTTTTTTTTAACAATTCCTGTACAGCTGCAAGCAATGTAAAAGAAAAAGAAAAAAAATACTAAGTTCGTCGCCTATTACTGTTACAGTCATCACACGATTTTAATGTATTATATTGTATTCACATAAGGGATGTAAGCAGTAATTTCCCGCTGGTTTTTATCAAGAATCCGCTCTCCCTAATCTGTAAACTGTACAGTGGTTTCCATAGCAACACTACATTGTTGCACTGTTTTCACTCCCTCCCAAAAAAAAGAAACTTTGCTGTTTTTTTCTGAAAAGCAGCAATTTTTTTTTCTCCCCCCAAATTTGCAGTCATACATGAGAAAGGTCAAATTTGTCGTTTTGGGGAAAGTTGTTTTGCGGCAAAATTAAAAAGTCACTTTTTTATGGAAAAAAAGCTAATGTCTAATAAATCATATCTTTGAAGAATAAGTCGTACTTTTTTCCCCTAAAAAACTCCAAGTGTTGTTTTTTTTTGGGTGGGGGAAGAAAAGGAAAGACATTGTTTTCCCTACAAAACAGTCTTAGGTGTTGTTCCAGACAACAAAGGTGACTTTTTTTTTTTTTTACTATTTTAACAGGCATATTGCTTGGATAATAGTCATGTTTTTTTTTTTTTTTTTTTTTGGGGTAGAAAAACAAAGAAACGCCATATTTGTTGTTGTTCCAAGAAGAGATCAAGAAGTTTATTTTCAAGGAAAATAGTTGCAAACTAAAAAACTTGGACTGTGTCGGTTGGTCGACATTCTCCTTGTCATTTAAATGCGAGTTATTCAAACCCACCCCTCTTTGTTGCGTGTTTCTGTGCTTGTGTATGTTTTTCTGTGAACGCGGATCAGAGACGGCCAGTACAAATCACCACTTGAGTATTTGTGCAATATTTAGAGGGGCGCCGACGCACCATCGTCGCTTCATTTATTATTTTTTTTTTTAATGTTTGAAAATCAAACTGTTTGATTTCCTGTCTTCATTTAAATTGTTTATACCAAGCTAAATTGTGCTGCTGATGAATCATCACATCCTGTATCAATATGTACCATAGAAAAATTGCAGGATCAATGTATCGTTACAATATTCCCAACCATTGTATGTAATGTCTATATCTTTTTTTTTTTTTTTGTATAAGTGTATAATAACTACTATTTCCTCCCTCCATTTTGAAGAATTGGGACCAGCTCTCAATGAAGGCACTGACCAAATGCACAGCATTTTTTTTTTTTTTTTGTAAAGTTACTTTATACATTTGACTTGGCACCCAGACTGATAAAGCCAACAAAGAAGTGCTCATTTGTTGAGACTGCAATTCATGTACTGTGTATTAAGTCGTTTGTGAAGCAATACATTTTTTTTAACAAAAATTCCATGAATAAAGTGATTATGACTTGAATACAATGTCATCTTTTTGTACGAAGTTGGCAGAGTGTGCGGGGCAGCCAAGTCTGAAAAAGAAGCACAGAGAAAATTTCTGTCCAAGAAACAACACGGCAGCCGTGAAAATGCCTGAAAAAGAACCACAGGATGACAATTTTGTTTGAAAGAAACTGAACTGGGGCTGTGTAAAAGTCACTGAAAAATAAGCAGAGTCTGGTAATGCCGCTGTTGTTTCTCTTTTTTTTTTTTTTATTATGTGTAATTTTTTTTCTGCAAGCTCCATTTTTTTGTGGTAGGTTATTGTGTCTTTTTTTTTTTTTAATCGCAAATTTGGGGGTTATTCGAACAGTTTTGCGTTGTGTAATGCAATGTGGCAACACCACGGGGCAATAGCGAGCGCAATCAGTAGGTGTGCCCAGATCACCAATGAATTCCGCACAGGTGTGTCGGACCGCTCGCTGGTCTGATCCCATTTTCGGACGCACGCTTCAACGCACGAGCGAGGAAGGAAAGACAGGAGAAAATTGTACAGAAGACCGCAGATGTGCACATTATTTTCTTTTCAAAGTTTGCAAGACACTAAGTCCCCTTTTTTTTTCTCTAACTCGACCTTCCGGCATGACATTTGGATTGAAATGACTACAATTATGGATAACCTCTGACTGTTGGACGCCACGAATACGATTTCGACATCAACATCAAATTTCATCGAATCCTGTCAAACAACAATTTCAACCCAAGGTGAGTGCGCGTTGAAAAGTTTCCTTCGCCAGCGGATGATTGAAAACTTGCCACAACAGCGGTGTTAAAAAAAAAAAGTAACTATTTATTGACTTTGTATTTATTCCCCCGAGGTGTTTTTTAATGATCGTCAGTTGTATGTGTATTTTCGCTGGTGACAGGCCAACCTTTCGCCCCCGCGAATAGCAGGGTTCCAACCGAACTGTCGAATTACCGTTGCTTTGTACTGAGCGGCTCTGACAGACATTGTGGATCCGTGATGGTTTCTATGGTTGTAATCATGCAGTTGTGTTTTGCTAAAGCAGCATGTGGCTCATTACATGATTTTTGTCGCACCGGTTCCAAGTTGCTGCGCACTATTGTATGTTTCTGAGCACAAATATCAAAAAAGCTGGTTTATTACATTTTGTGTCTGCTTTTTACAATGTCTGTCCTCTTATGAAAGACAACACATCGTGTTAAATCTTTAAGTCAATTGTATTATATTGAAAGAATTGGCGAGGCTATTCGCAGTTCCACTTCCCATCATGCGACACAAACACACCGCTGAAAGAGTGTTTTGGCTATGTGTGAGCTTTTATTTTGAAAGTCAAGCGCCTTTTTGTAAACACAGTGCGCATGTTTCTGGGGAACGATCGAATGTTATTGCCTTTTGGCATTGCGCAGAATCCGTTCGGCGCGTGCGTGCATGTAGCGTACGACGAGCAGATGACGACCACCAGATGGTGCTATTTCTTAACTGTCCACTTGGCCCACAGCACGGACGTCACAAGAGGACAAGAAATGACGTTTATAACGCCCATATCTACATTCTAAATTGTCCCTAAGTGTGAGTGTGAATGGTTTGTTTGTCTACGTGTCATCTAAGCGGTTCAGATAGTGGATGGATGGAAGGATATCCATCCATCCTTCCATCCACCCTGCCCCGCCCGTTAGGCGAGATAGGCAGATGCTAAGGGCCTCTATGAACTCTAGGGGACGCCAAAAATCGGCTTAAACTTCACCTTCAACCTAATTATATTCAAACGAATTATTGCAAATAGCTCTTGCATTTTTCCATGGTTGATTAAAAAAGTTTTAAACATTTTTTTTAAATAAAAAAAAACTGCTGCATTTCATGTTAAAGAGCGAAGACAACATGTTGCATGCATTAGCTATTTAATGTTAAACTAAAAATTTGGCAGCCTCATTCGTCGTGGAAAAAAATGGAAAGAGTAAATGTAAGGTTGTCATAGAAATGAACAAAAACAGAATATTATGTTTCTGTCAATCATCGCTGTCGCTGTTTGCCTGTTAGTTTTATTGTCTGGAGTTTGAGCAGTGCTGCGTTTTTCCAAGTCAATGTGACTGATACGCCTTCTCCTCCTGTGCGAAGGCAGATATGGAAATAAGTCGCGCGTACAACACACGCACACGCGCACACGTAAATGAAGAAAGCAGTAAGTGCGGCTGGAGATAAACCAGCGACTGGCTGCAAAGTCGAAGGCGGCTCCGTGCTCGGAATGCCGAGGTCACCTCGTAAACAAAGCTGCCGCTATTTAGCTGCGGTTGGCTTAATGAAAATGAATGATGGGGCGGTGGGCATGGGGGGTCTTGAGGGTCTTTGTGGATGGCGGAGGTAGATTGGTCACGGCGGATTGAGAGAGCTGGGCTGGACAGATAAATATACTCGTGGCCAAGTGGGCAATTAGAAAGGCAAAGAAGATAATACGCTTTGAAGTCGGTAAAAGAAGACGCAAAGATGGGTGACAAGAGCGAGGAGGCAGATGGCGATGAAAAGCATTTATCAGGCGGTACACAAAATGGATGGATGGATTGAATGGCAAAGAGACAAAAACTCTCTTGCAGGGGAAAAAAATAAAGTAAATAAAATTGCAGGCTATTTTCTGTTTCATAGGGAGCAACAGAACTAGAAATAAGGACTGGACAACACTGATAGTGTAGTGGTCCAGCCGCCTGTCTTCAGTTCCCACTCCGTGACGGATGGTGTTTTTTTTTTTTTTTTTTTTTTTTTTTGCCTAGCAATGACTCAATTTGAGGAGCAGATTACAAATTTTGAGGGGAAATATTTTGCAGGTTCATCCCAGGGACCTGAAGCATCAAAACATGACAATACAATGGCAATGTTGCAGCGAGCAAACAACCAGGTGTTGTTGTTTTTCTTTAATATATTCACCACTTTTTATTTCTTGAATTCCCACTGTGCATAGTAGCAAACTATCTTTATTGTCCAGAAAGATATTCAGCGAGGCAATTTATTTCAAACCCATAAAAAAAAAATAAAAATAAAAATCTGAATTTACGTTTAGCATTTGTTCTTGTTTACTTTAGCAGCTAGCACTTTAGCATGTCATCATGTGGGTATTCGTTGTCCAAATTGTGACCCAATCTCAAGTGTTGGAAATGGCTCGCTTTCTTGAACGATGCAATGTGAACGTTTGGACGAACTTGGGTTTTTTTGGGGGGTGGGGGGTGAGGGGGGGCGCTCCTGAAAAGTGATGATTTTGGCGGTACAAGGATTCCGTCTGACCCCAACGAACTAATACTCTGTATTAATGCATAATATTATAGAAAAAAAAACCCAATATAAAATATAAAATAATAAAATAAAGACTAGATTGAAATGTAGAATTTAAAACATGCATACATAACCGATAAAATAAAAATCAAATGTAATATGTTCTCGAATAAAATTATGTACCCGTCCGTATGTTTATTTTTAGTAAAATTGAAGATGACACTTCAAACACCCGGGCTGTCGTTTTTTTTTTTTTTTTTTCTCCCCCCCACCATTGAAACAACATCGGCACAGAGTTTATTATGTTTCCAAATGCGGACCACGAAGACCTTATTGACTTTGTGTCAGACGACACACTTGGCCTTTTATTTTGGGAGGGAATGGCTTGCCGTGGTGTGAAAAGAGATGGACAGGGGGTCAGGGGTGCGGGAGTGGGGGAAGGGGGAGGGGGATTTCTCTGAGGGAAGATGGCCGGTGAAAGGTCACGGTGAATAAAAGCCTTTTAATCCCGCCACCTTGGTTCCTGTGCCCAGGGAATATCAAAGTCATCCCAATCTCTACGGAGACTGTGTGTGTGTGTGTGTGTGTGTGTGTGTGTGTGTGTGTGTGTGTGTGTTGGGGGGGTTATTTTTGCATTGGTGTTTGTGTTTGCTCTCGCTCGCTCTCTCGCTCTCTCACCTCATTGTTTGGAGATAAGAGATGGAAACGTGACCGCTTGCAGTTTTTAGGCTGAGCAATGTTACACCGACCAGAATCAAGGCTGCTATTATTTTGTTCCAAAAGAGAGCACTGCAAAGCGTCTCTGTCGTGGTTGCTCAGCACAATGTGGCCGAAGTGACAACAGATGACGGAAATTAAGCCCGTTTTACAAAATGGCCGCACGGTTGCATAGGATGAATTTTTCCCGTGTTTTTTTTTCCCCGCATTGAGTTCTAATCAATATTGCCACCTTGACGAACTAACTTAAATACTTTACTGATGACTCCTCCTGCAATTTATTTTCACTGTTAGTTTTGTTCCATGTGCACGCATGTGAGAAAACGGTGACTGAAAAATGTCATTTCTATTCCTACACTGCTGCACTATCTAAATAAAATGTATATTATTCATTATAACACGCTTTGCATATCCATAATGTGGTCCATTTCAATGAAATACTGCCACACATGATGTGATTGTTTTGACTAGTCTGCCAACCATAGCCGTGACATGTTCTGTACATCCTCTAGATACGACGTTTTGATATTAGTCATGTTCCACAAATGTGATTATCATGCCACTGTAGTCTGACCAACTATGTGCAATCGAAAGAGGGCTTTTGCTAATGCACCTTCTTCAACCCTTGACACACTCGGTTGCTTTTAAAAGCTCCTGTCTCAGACCCAAACAAAACAGCATGCGGCAAAGTAACCACTCCAAAACTCAACAATTGGAAAAAGCAAAAAGCTATTACGCTTTTTAAAAGGTAAAAGCACAGGTGAATGGGGTTGAGCGGAAAAGTAAACAAGGTTTTGAACCGGGTCTGATCCACACATTCGTTCGTGGAACCTTGAAAGCCGAAGTTGTCATGGTTAACTGGGAATGAGATCAGGAGTTAGGGGAAGGGTTGCGTTTAGGGTTGTCATCACGCGACGAAAGCACCGTTTGAAAAAAATAAAAGAGAAAAACATCCATCCATCCAGTTTCTACAGCGCTTGTCCACATTAAGGTCTGGGTGAGCTGGAGTCTATCCTTGCTGCCCTCCGGACTGGTCGCCA